TATCCCGACCCATAGCAACCCTGTATAGGGGTTCCAAGGAGCAGCTGGTGAGCTTGAACTGCCAACCTTGCAGTCAAATGGCTTTGCAGTCTGGCGCATTAACCCAAAGCGCCACACCAGGACATTAGCAAAATTGAGGACTGACCAGTTCACAATTGAAAGGGAAGTAGGATGTTTTGGCTTGTCTCTAGACTTTTAAGGTGACATGGAAAGTGACAGCATCTCTCAAAACATCCCTCAGGACTGCATCAGTAAGTGCTCCCTTGGATATTGTTGTTGTTATTGTTGAGTCTGATCTGACTTATAGTGACCCTCCATAGGGTTTCTGAGGAGCAGTTGGTGAGTTTGAATCACCGGCCTTGTGGTTGCACACTTATTCTATGGCGTCACACCAGGACATTTGTTTTTACTTAATGATTTCTTAATTGTAAGGTATATAAAATCTTTGCCATCCACAGTAAATTACAGTAGGAGAAGCATACTTTTTTCCAGTGGATCTTTTGAGAATGTCTCATTTTAAATATTAAAATTACTTTTCTTTGAGAATATGGATGGAATTCATGGCTTTCTCAATAATATATATAAAAAAAAATAAAAAAGACCAAATAGATTCTACTCTTCTACAAAAATCCTATTAATTGTGAAGAACATTGTTTATGTTACTGTGTGTTAGAGTACATTTATTATTATTTTTTTTTTTTCAATTATTGATTGTCAGCAATAGAAGTTAAATCTGGCTGATTAGAGTAGGAAAGGAATCTGTTGAAAGCATATTGAAAAATTCAAGAATATTTGAAGCTGGAAAATAGGCTAGAAAAAAATGGCAGGATAAAGTGAGGAATACAACTTGTAGCTAAAACCATGCAGTGGAATTCTTGGTGAGGGCACTGTTAATGAATTGTCCAGTACCTGTTTACTTCTCACTAGCTCCCATGACAATATCTAGGCTAGATGTAGATGGACTAAGCCTATTCCTATGCATTTCCCTTTGGGGCAGTAAAACTAGGAAAGCAAGTTTTTGGTTTGGGGAGTTCTGGATGTAAAAGGCAACATTTCATAGGCATGGGAAGGCATTTCAGATGTCAGGCAGCTAAGATACAAAACAAAACAAACGTCTTCTAAAAAATCTTCTAAACTATAAAATGATGGACAATTCTCTCTTAACTATCTTTGTCTTTAAACTCTAAAGCAGAGGTAGTGGTTGTGTGCCATAGAGTCGGTTCCGACTCAGAGCGGCCCTGCAAAGGGTTTCCAAGACTGTAAATCTTTATGGTAGCAGAAAGGCTCATCTTTCTCTCTCGGAGAGTCTGGTAGATTTGAACTGCTGACTTTATAGTTAGTAGCTCAAAATATAACCCATTATGCTACCAGGGCTCCTTGAAGTCTAAAGCAAGCACATTAAAATGACTTTGAGAGTACTTCAATAAATTCATGGGGAAATTCCACTATCTTTTCATTCTATTTTTCCAAAAACTTTTTTGAAGCCCCTCATATGTAATAAGTACAGAATGGTGCCCACTTATTCATATTGCAAGTACTTTCTCACTTGTTTTCCTCTTAATTAGACCAAAGATATATTTCTTAGTTCTGTACTCCATGGAGTTAGATATTCATAATTTGTTTCCTACCAAAGGCAATTTCTATTTTATTTTTTTAAGGGTTTGTTGCTATTGTTTTGAGACATGGTTTGCACTTATCTTGAGGGTTCAATTTGATGAGTTTTTATTGGTGTACGGCCTTGTAACCATCACCCAAATATGGTGTATTTCCATTACACCAGAAAGTTCACTGTGTCTTCAGCCCAGGAAATCACCACTTCCATATATCTATCTGAATACAATAGTTTGTTCTTTCAATTTATATAAATGAAATATTACTTTATATATTCTTTTATGGCTGGTTTTTATCATAATATTCTTGAGATGCATCCATGAGATTTTGTATAAATGTTGTTGTTAGGTGCCATTGAGTTGGTGCCAACTCATAGCAACCTTATACACAGCAGAACCGAACACTGCCCGGTCCTGCACCAATCCCACAATCATTGCTACACTTGAGCCCTTTGCTACTCCCACTGTGCCAGTCCATCTTGTGGGGG